TTCCTTAGCCTATTTGTAATTGTGCTGATAGTTATTCTGACACTTTTTTTTTTTCTTGTTTTTCTCTGTGGTATCTATTAAGATACCACAGAGAAAATCAATTCCTCACTGGACAGTTTTCCTCTCAGCATCTTGTAGAAGGCATCACATAGCCACAGATAATATAGATATCTACATTTATATACACTCTTCATATTACTGTGCCTCGTTTATACCCTAACGGCTGCACTCTGATGAGCATCTCCAAGTCAAGTCATGTGCCAAGACAAATTCTATTTACATGCAATAAAGTGGAGATTAAAAAAACGATGCACAATAAATGTACAGTATGTTAAGAGCGTCTGGGCCTGCAGGTTAAATCTAGGAGCACTCCCTCTGTCTCAGCTCAGATAAACCTCCTTAATATTCACTGATCACCCTGCTAGATTAAAATAATGCACCGCAAATACAGCACAGATAATCATTTAGGATATGACCTCCTTATGCCATGCAAGTGTGTGTATGTGTTCCAAGTGTCTTCATTTTGTGGTGTAAGCACGATTAAGTGGATTATACACATTTAAATGTACTCATCAAATAGATTTGTGTATTCAGAGCTATTTAGTAAATGTGCATGCTAAATACCAATGGTGCAGTAGCATTAACTTCACATGCTGATCAAGAGCTTCATTTAAAAAATGAATGATTCCGAAATGTATGTATTCAAGACATATTTGGTGTCTGAAGCACTTGAGTAAAGAGGCTAATGTAGTTAACAAGTAATGGAAGCTCTGCCAATTAGCTTTGTGCAAATGACATGCCTAAATTATCACACACCTCAAACTGCACTGAACTGTCAAAACTCAAGTAGATTTGTTTATGCAGTTTATGACTAGAAATGGGCAATATGACAATATTTTATTATAGTCAGTACTCAGACCACTGACCAACACCATGTTTCATTAAATGACAGCATAATTAGTCCTGCTGACTTAGTTCAGTGTATAAAATGTAAAAATGAGTTTTTGATGGCAGTTTTTAATGTGGCACTAACAGTGCAGTGTCTGTGTGTCTAAATATTGTGAGAAATATCGTGTGTCATGAAAATCTCTTAAGTATCGTGATATTTTTTTTCCCATATCACCCACCCCTAGTTATGACACTGTGTGACACTGTAATCTATTCAAACGGACAAAATTGCATTAGATAATTAAATACAGCCACCTTAAAACCTGAATTTTATCAATATTTTATTCCAATTTCACAGTTAAAGGAGAATTCCACCAATTTTTTTTTTATATTCTATGTATCTAAATGTTTAAGATGTAAACAAAGGCATTCACAGTGGCTTCATAATGACTAAACATTAAATTCTATTAATGTCTGACGGAGCTTTCTTTGTGTGCTAGCACTTTGGTGTGTCACTCCCTGCTGAGTGTGTAAATGAAGTAAAACAAGGAGTGGAATTTTGGATGGTGGATGAGCAGGCACAGTGCCCATGCATACAAAATGTAAAGGAAAAAAAAGAAAGAAATAAAAAAGAAATTCTACTTATGTATTTCATGGCTGTTAACAGATAAGTGGTAACAGTTCTAGGTTACAGTATGGCATACGGTGTCAGAAAAAACATAATCACGTCTATTTATGATTACTATGCAAGCAACATCAAACACCAAATATGTCTTGGCTGATCAGCTACATTTGGGGAGAAATCGTGTGAACCTAATTTTTTACCAAACCAAAGTATTAAAAAAAGCTGCTATAGATGTGCTCCTTAGCAACACAGTTAATGTCACAAATTCAGCTTTACACGGATACACTGTTCGTACTTCATATGCAGGCAAAACAGAAAAAATTCTATTTAAAAGTTAAGATCAACTTCTTGGCTAAGGTTAGCTTCATGGTACTATTTGTAAGCAGATGTTTAAAGCATACAGGGCCCAAATTAATTGGGCCGCTTTGTAACGGCACTGGCAGAACACTTCCGTATAGGTACAAAGCCTCTTTTTAGCATCACGCTGCTTTTGTTCGTTTACTTAAACGGAAGTCATTACCATGGCTTTCTGACACTTTGTAACTCTCACAAACTATGAGTAAGTGATTGAAAAGTCTAGCACATAATGGCTTACTTCACTACCATAAAGTGTATCTAGATTTGCATTTGTGAGGTTGCTTACTTCATATTGGGTGTCATCAGTAAGTATACTATGGTGTATTAACTGACACTCCACAGTCGTTCAGGGTCCTTTTTTCATTAGTAGTTATGTGAGTGTGAAAGTCCCAGAAACCATCTTATGTCAAACACCTTGCCAAATTACATTCTAAGTAGGCCTGTGCTGGGGTTGTTGGGAAAGGCAGGATGCTATATAGAATAGTAATAGTGTGCAAGTTAAAACTTCATCTTTGTCAAATAAAAGGACATGTACTGTTCGCTGTTCAGTAAAAGTTGTGGTTGTAGTATACAATCATGTTAAATTTAGCCAATGTAATGAATTAACTGTAATTACATTGCTGTCTAAGGCTGTTTTGTTTGAGATCATGATGTCTGTGACTTCTTAGCCAGATCTCTTCTTGTCTGAGGCTGTTTTTTGTACCTAACTGTACATAAGCTGACACATGACAGTGTTTTTTCCCAAGACCCAAACCCATTTTGTTTGATGTCAGAAACTTGATGCTCTGGTCTTAAGATGGCCTAAAATATCCACCAGACCATAAGCAGCTTTTTTGTACAGGCATATCTGCAATGGCCCTCATTGCCCTGCCCCCATCCCCCTCCAAGAACATTAAACCAGCGCAGTTCAACATTTGCATTTTTACAACAACCTCATCTATGCTAGGTACAAAAAGTAATAATGTAAGACATCATATCACTTAACAAAAAGTTAGATTATATTCACATAAAGGAATAACAGAGTCTTTATATAGCTTCTGTGTTTGTTAAATTAGCAGTAAATGATTTTTTTTACTGTTTCAAGGGGCTACTACTTTAACTTGGTGAACCGTTACAGACACAGGCCTAATTCTAAGCACAACCAGATAATCTGAAATTACTCTAAATTTATCTGATATACTGAGTAATTAACTAATCACACTGTGAGTAATGCTGCATTACTTTTTTACAATTTCAACTCAATTTAAAATATATGGTTGTGACAACACTGACATCATACAACATTGCATATATATTTAAACATTTTGCCATACATGCCTATGTAACGTGTAGGCTGGATGTACGTTTTGTAGGTTGTTTGCATAAGCGCTGTGTGTAGGTTAGCAGCAGGCGTTGCATTGGCAGCATATGGCACTGAGATTATCAGCTTACCTGACTGGGCAGGTGACTCAGAGAGCCCCGCCTAATCAGGCAGATCGGCTAATTGATTAGGCAGCAGGGACTTACCACTGCAATCCTATTCTCCTCTAAACACACACGCACACACACACTCCACTCTGTTTCTCTCTACCAACAACTTGCCCTCAAATAAACACCTGTTAACACTTCAAAGAGAGAGAAAACATCTTGTGACAGAAAAAAACCCTTAATATTACTTTCTAATGTCTGCTCTTTCAGTATTAATGACCTGCTTATTTTAGATTTCCTTTGTCTTTTAACTTTTCATTTTCATCCAAAAAAAAAAGCTATTACATTAAACAGTTACGAATACGATGCCTGACACCTGAGACACTACTTTACGATAATTCTGAGACTGGATATTGTTTTTAATCCGTTCATGTCAAACAGGTACATGCAATACACTGTTGCAAGACAAAACAGCAACATTTTCCCATCATCAACATTTCATATAAAAACTCAGAAGACATGTGTAGGTTCATTGCTTATTTTGGACAGTATATAAAATGGCTATATTTGCATTGTTGACATTGTGATCCCTGGCTCCTCTGAATGACTTGGTCCACATCCACACAATTGAATTAACAAGAATTTTTAAAAATCGATAGAATTCGCCCCTTAATCATCCATCATTCTCTTTTTATAAGGCTATGGGCTCTATCCTGAGCTCACCTCTAAGTGCAAGTTCACACACAGTTTGGTACTGCAATCACCTGTAAACACTTGTTGACTGCCAACCACCACATGAACTAACCCAACCTGCCTTAACTGTTTTGAACCAGCTTTATTCTGAACTTATACTGAGCACCTTCCCTACTGTGTGCTTATCTAAAATCTTGTATATCTAACACAACAGTTTGATCTAGTCTGAAGCACCGAGTATACTACAAGTAGCTGTTAGCAAGACTAGACTAGCTAGCATTAACACAAGTATACCAAAAAATAACATAAATACTTGTCTATTACCATTTGTAGTGTGTTATTATATGTGTCAAATTTCAAATACAATAGTAGTAACAGCCAACATGGTTCCTGGTGTGTATTTGGCACATGGTCACCAGCAAAACCAGCATATGTGGTGTTCTGGATGCTGGTATGCTGGTCACCAGGATGATCATGTTGGGTGACCAGCTAAACCAGCACCAGACAAGTACTAGACCAGCAGAAACTAGCATGACCCAGCTTAGACCAGCACGGAATGAGCCATAATCACCCTCAGAACTGCTGAGCGTTTTCAGTACCTACAACTGCGCCATGCGCTCCTGTCAGTTCTACAGCCAAGTGAACTGCCAAACGCTGCACGTCATAATGCATACAGTCTGCGTACACACTTAGGGGCACTGGTCGCACGTGCACTGAACGCTTAAATGTAAACTGACAGCACGCGCACTGAAAACAAAACTGGAAATTCACTGCACGCGCACCAAACACTGAAATGCACACTTGCTGCGCGCTCTGAAAGATGGAAAGCAAACTCACTGCATGCACACTAAACGCTAAAACACACAGTGGCCGCACGCGCACTTAAAGCTTAAATGCACACTGGCTGTGTGCACTCTGGAAACAGAGACGTACCCACTCTCTACGCACACCGATATTTAAACTGACTGCACGTGCACTGAAACTCGGAATGCACAGTGGATGCACACGCACTGAAAGCAGAGGTGCTCACCTTTGGGGAAGGGGTTGGGCTGCACGGCGTAGAGGAACGCGTGCACCATGTGGAAGAGGAGGCCGATGGCTCCCGGCTCATAGTACGCGTGCGTCTCGTACACCACGGACGGGACGTAGCCGAACTCCAGCACTTCAGTCGCGGGCGCCCAGTGCGTGTCTGCGCGCGCCGGCTCTTCGCTGGACTCGGGCTGCTGCTCGCGCGCCCAGCTGCACGATCCACAACAATAGAACAGCAGCAGCGCGAGACGCGCTTTCCACAGCATTGCGATGCGGTCCTTAAAGAGGAATGACTTCAAAAAAGAAACCAAAGAAATGAAATAAAAACAATAACGAAAACGAAGCGAGGAAGCGCGCCTCAGCCGATGTTTTCGGAGCCTCTTTTGGATTTCGACATTAAGAAGAAAAAGAAGAAAGGCTGCAAGAAAAAGCGGGAAGGTGAAAAGACGGAGAAAAGAAATAAGCGTTCCAGTATGAGCTCAGGCGCGGCTCCGCCGTGTCGGTTTTGCAGGACTCATTTCTCCGTGCGTTCCGCGGCTCCTCAGCGCTCGGTCTGCCGCTCGTCTGCCTCCCTGTCTGCGCTCCTCTGCCGCTCGTTCTGGAGCGCGCGAGACTTTGCGCGTGCGCATAGCCGTAGGTATGTTTGTGGCGCGCATGCGTAAATATTGAGGGCCATGGACGATGCTTCTCATTTTCTATCCGATGGGACAGCAGGTAATAGAAAAAATACAGACACCAAAATCAAAACGGATCCTACGCACTACACTCTTAAAGATGCTTTTCGAGGGTTCTTTAGTAAAGACAATGGTTCTATATGGAACCATGAACATTCAAAGAACATTTTGCATGATTAAAAAGTTCTTTGCATGGTGAAGATCCCATAATGATTGACAGTGCCGTCTCCTTGGCAACGTAAGCAACACGGCCAGATGCAGTGGTGAGCGCCACCACCAACGATGCTGGAGATGGTACACACATCAGACGGTATCAGTGTAGTTCCGCCCTACATTTTGGATTTTGAAGAACAAAAGCCCCCAACAGACCACTTCCCTCTGTTCTTTGGCACCACGCAAAGCAGAGTAACGCACAGCCTCAAGTGGCTTATTGCTTTTATAAAACGGCGGCCAACATAAAATAAGATAGAATACATTTTTTTTTTCAGAAAATTAATGTATTATTAACATTAATCAACATAAACAAGTATTCCGCCAAGAAATGTAGTTCCTTTAGGCTTCCTGCTCCATACAAAGTGCACTAGCTATGTAGGAATTTAAATACTGGATCCTGTACTCAAACTCTGCAAAATATAAGTTAGTGAACAATAGTCATTTGGGATTCAGCCACAGCCATATTCGACAAACAGTGCACTGTCTGAGCAGCAATAAAGTCAAAGATTAATCCATCACCAGCACACGGATTTTTCATGACGTGGCGCAGTGATACAGAGTTGCTGTGAGGTGGCCATAGGTGCGGCTTTGAAAGTGGCTCAGCCAATCACATTTCAGGACCGCGTCTATCCGTTTTATAATAGAAATTTTAGATATGTAGTTACGTTTTGTGGCTAACAGTTAAGAACTCAGGCTTTCATCTCACAACGGGTAGGTCACGGACATTTTGATATTTAAATGCTCAGCACTAACGTTATTTAGCGTGTAGCTATGCTACAAACAATGTTGTAATGCAACTTCATAACAAGCACCATTAACAAATTTAGCAAAAGCTTAAATAAACTTCTTGCTCAGTGTTTTGGCTGGGACTGACATATACATTTTGCTATTTCTGATTGATACTTTAGTCCCGCCTCACTCAATCTGAAATGAAGAACTGAAGAAAACAGCAGAAAAAAAAATTCAAAAATCTCTCAATAGAAAATATCAACTTCATTCTTTCTCTGCCCGTTTAAAGTAAAAACATCACAAAAGTGGGGCCGAATGGTTTTCAGCATGTAGGTTAAGCGCTCTAGTGGCATTTCCACACAAACCAGACTCGGCGCGTTTTTTTCCGACACAGCTAACTGTGTTCAGGGCCGCAGAACCGCTTGGTGGGATGCCGTAATGATGCAGCTGTTCGCTGACTCCTTCTACTTTTAGGTGCCACTGCATACTGCATTATTTCATCTGAAAACAATCTAGTAAGTTCAGTTTGATTATACAGTCACTAAATAAATGAAAGCAGTGCATGATTTTAAATCCACAATTTAACAAAGGTCAAAGCAATCTAACGACTGCTAAATGTTAAACAGCGCTGTTAACTAGGAGAGAGTAGCTGGTTAGTATTAGCTTAGCTAGCATGTTGCCAGCTCTGCTCACCACAGAACAGGTTCAATTTTGACCAACAGCAGCTTTACTGACGCAAATTTAGATGATAATAACTCAAATCTAAGAAGTTGCATGGCTGGTGTTGGAGGGACAGTAAGCCAAGATTAAACATGTCTTGTGATGTTTAGATCTGTGGCCTCCTAGCTCTCCCAGTTGGATCTGTAGCCTCCTGGCTCATCACTTAAAGCCAGATTTAGTTGGTGTGTTAGAGCAGGGAAAACACCAGACTGTGCTGGTCCTCACTTGTTGTAGACGGCTGCAGTGGTCTTTTTATGTTTCCTTCTATGGACTAAATCAGAGATGATTATGAAGCAAGAGCCACCATATAAGGCCATTTGCAAGCATATTTTTAAACCTGCACCTTTTTACATTTGTGTTGTCCTGCGCTGGGTTAGCGCATGCGTCACTGGTCACAAAAATACCACAAATATATCTTACAGACCCTCACAGACCTGCGCTGTGATCTTGGACCTTACTTTTGATGAGATCAGTAATAATGTTAAACTAACACCTACAGTGCTGATTTGAAACTAGGCCTGTGAATTGTGTTGAATTAACACTACTAAATATTTACGGTAGTGAGTGAACCTCTACAGTGTTGAGACATTTTTATAGAGATCATTTGTGTTCATTTAGCACTGTATGTGTTAATTTCACACTGTAGGTGTTATTCAACATTAGGGATTTTGCTCTGCATAAAGAATTCAGTCTGGATATACAGTATCTTGAATGATCAGCTCATTCATTTACACAGCCTTTCTGTGCATTTGACAGTGTGTGTTGCCTGCTCTCTTTCAAACACGCACAAAGAGCCGTGATCTAATGCACAGACAGAGCCCCCTGAGTTGGGCTCATGTTTCTCTCAGTATAATAAGACGGCATCTGTGACAATCCCCTGATTTAAACGCCATTCAAATCCCTCTCCCCACTGCTTAACAAATCCAGCCAGCCTCCCATGGCAGTAGGAATCATTCAAGCTGTTTCAAAGAACAAATCACGTTTTGATACAGTTAGCTACTTTTCTGCATTGAAAATGCCTTAGAAATGACACTCATACCTCTGTATTTTTCATATAAATCTGGTGTGTGCTCATTTTCCTTGGCAACAACATTCAACCAGCAACAGAAGCCACTTCAGTTCAGATCTGCTGGTATCTATGTGTCTATTGTTAGCTACATTAGGTCAGTGTATGGTGCAGTCCCACCGAGATCAGTGCAACACAGATTTCAGATTCAGTGAGGTCATTTCTTCAATTTAACCACTTCACTCTACACAGAGTGCATGGTTGTTGTTGTTTTGGCTTTATATTTTGGAAATGACATAAGACAATGATGATTAATGTAGAGTACCTGCCTAAATTTGAGTGTACTTGCCTCTATAACTACACAGGTGTCACTTTTTAAAATTGGGATAGGCAGAAAAACAGAATCAAAGGAGTATGACATTTTGTTGGACTATTGAGTGTCGAACGAAAACAACAATCAGTAATTCTGCCATGAGGCCAAAACACCTCGCACTTTGCTATAGTGCTTTTATGTATATATATATATAATAATATATAAAATCACAACACACCTGACATCAACAAGTGTATTGTTGAAGCGACAGTTCATACCAACGTTACTCAAACAAAGTTTGACAAAATCCCAACACCACGATTTTTACGAAGATTGCGATTTATTTCAAGAAGTAGCTAGTTTCTGGGTGAGGTAGGTTAACTGCAGATGGGATGGAAGTTAGTTAATGCTAGGTTAGCTAAACGGGAAGCTTGTGTCCATGACAACTTTACGTTTTATACATATCTAGCAACGTTACATAGCTGCAGAAACTGTCCTCAGTAAATAAGACGACAAGGGGACTATCATTGGAATAGTTCAGCAAAACACAAACAGTTAAATAGCCAGCTATCTTGGTTGTTGCTGCTGCCACTCTGAGGTAATAGCTTAGCTAGCTAGCTAATCAGCCTAGATTGGATGACGTCGGGGGACTCCTGCAGTGACCACACCATGACACTAAAACAGACGGGTAAATTAACGTAACAGACTGTTTACAGACTGTTACTGAGACGAGGAAAATAACTTACACTCGTCTTATCTAGGTTTGCTTACTATGACTCCACTCTGATTCACCCCTAAAACAAAAAAGGAGTTTATAACCATCAGTGTTAATCTAACGTAACTAAGCTACCACATTATTTACAGATAGCTGACTTGCCTTGGCTAAATTGGCCTGGCTGGATTAATTCACAAGTCATCAGGCAACGCTGTTAAATCACCACAATTTTTAACGTGAACTTGAGTGCATTATAAACTCCCTCCAGTACGACAAATTAAGTTAATTTTTCTCAGGTTAGATTATAAGAATATAACTCTATAACTCTATAACTCTATAACTCCTCCCTCAATGTGTGACACTATGATTCATCTGTGCAATATTCAATACCAAATTGTACTGTTCATATGTGTAATAATAATAGTAATAATGTAAGTAATTTTCTTAATTATGTGTACAATAACTCAGAGGTGCAATAATTTGAACTGCTTTATACAGTATGTTTCATATTTATTTATAATCACAGCCACAGTCATTTTACTGTATTTGTAAGAATTTAAAAGTGTACATATTGCAAATTTCTCTCTTGTTTTAAATTATTAGTGTTTATTCTTTTACATTAATGGTTGCAACTGTAACAACTGCAATTTCCCTCTGGGATCAATAAAGTATTCTGATTCTGATTCTGAAGAACAACATTAGGAAAGAACTAAACTGTTTCCCTCACCTGCAGTAGATGATTTCACACTGTATCCGTTCAGCTTCTGTTGAATTTTGGAGTTTTCTGTGACGGTTGGAGCAGCTCGCGCTGAGTTTTCCGTTGGATTTTGAATTTTAAATTAGCACGTTAGCATTAGTTACTGCGCTACAGATGCGCTGCATTTAAGTTAGCAACA